CCTTTTTACTTAATGGTTGGGAATAATGCTTTAACTTCTTTATGGAAATAATGTTTTTAAAATTAACAGAACTAGTCTTTAATGAACAACTATGATAGGAGCTTTGTTAGATTATATTGAATGTTATTTATCATAAATATTTCATAAACATCCCAGTAATTTTTAATGGCCTTGCATCTGCAGTTTATTTCATCACATGAACAATGGTTTCATTTAGTCAAAATGAAGCCACTCTGAAGCACTAGGCAAAAGGAATGCATTTTAAATAATTCCTTATGAAAATGTCCCCAGTATCCATTATTCTAAAGAGGAAACAACTTTCCAGCATTTAACTCATATCATCACAAAATGGTATGGCAGAAAATCAGTTCTGTCTTGAAAATGTAGTAATATTACTTATAGCAGAAGATTTTATGAACTGGTCAGTTCCTAAAATTTTTTGGCTTTTAATTTAGCTTATGTATCAAAATATATTGACTTTGATCTTAAGATTCAACAGCCAAAACCCTCTTGCATAGCAACAGTTAAGAAATCAGAGTACGTTATCAGTTGCACTCAGTCATACAATTCTGTGTACAACTGATAATACTTATGTTGATTTCTTGGGGATTCACTTCTAAAAGTTATGCTTTTTTTTGCAACAGCAATGTAACTAGTAGGCAAGAAGATTTGAGCCATTGAGTAAAATTCTGTTTATATTTTCTATAGATATGAGAGATTCCTCTCCCAGCATATGTTCCCTTCCTTCTGTAGCCCTATGTGCCTCCTCTGAGACAAAGCCCCTTTAAAAAAATGTATTCTAGAACAATGGTTCCAGTGCTGGGTAATCCAGATGTTCTTGGGTTGCAATTCCCAGAAGCCTTCACTACCAGCTGTTTCTGAGAGTTGCAGTCCAAGAACACCTGGGTTACCTAAGGATGGGAACCACTGTACTAGCATATATCAAGATCCAGGACATTGTGCCAATACTGAGAATTAAACACAGGCTGTGAAATGCTAGGTATTTTCGAGAGTGGCATGGACTGTTGATAATGTGAATGAACTTTCTGCTGGGGCCAGGCTGAGGAAATCACCTTAGCTAGTAGAGCCATTACTGCTCAGTCTTTGCTAGATGCTCCTGTGGCCTGCAGATTTTGTACCCTACCTGGATGCAGCTTGATCTGCTCTGTGAATAATGTTTTGGCCCCAAAGCATTATGGGAAAGGGTAGCAAAATTGTAGACAGATTTATTTTTGGGACATCTTTCCCTAGAATGCCAAAGATACCAAGCATCTTTGGGGTAAAGGCATTGCTAGTATGGCTGGCTGCAGAATGTCTGGTGTACGCAGGCTGGCTATAGTGCTCAGAAATGCACTACAGTGGTTGGCACTTTCCTGCTTCCCGAAGTGGTACTGATTCCTTCATTCAGAGTACAACCCCTAATTACTGTCCCTTTGAAATTTTCCACAAAGTGAAATCCTTCCCGCTCTCTCAGAAAGAACACATGGTGCTGGATAGAGTAGATTTTGATTTAATTATATGACTCACGTACACCTCTGCTTGCTACATCCTTAATATATATATATTTCTTCCCATGTATTTTTCACAGTCTCCTTGGCCAGTAGTGCATATGTGTAGATACTGGAAGTGTCCACAGACAGAGGATTACTGGAAGTGGAGTCAGTCTGGGCAAGGAAGTTGAGAAAAATATGTATCGTGAAAAATATGTTAGTGTTACAAAAACAAGAGTGCACTTTTGAAGGGAAAATTCCATGATTAAAGAATTATTTCTGAATAGCGATTTAAATCAAATCCACCTGCCTTCCAAGTAAGTGCTGCAGCACTCCTCACCTCAAGCCGCTGGACTGCTTCTGTGCTTAGGGACTGGGTGCTTCCAGTAAAAACCCACACTCATAAATATTTATTAACAAAACTTTGCAAAGTTTTGGAACTTTATTTTTTATAAATTGTTCGTAAAAACCGGAAGCTCACATATTACTATCCATCTCTTGGATAGTATACTCATTAGCTAATTAGACAGATACACAAACATATAAATATGGATATCTGAAAGATGCAAGCTTACTTTATTAAAAAAATACAAGAGTTGATAGAGGAATGAGGGTAGTCTTTCAATCATCATAGGTAGAAATAGCAAACAACAGCCTTACTCATCTATCTTATTACATTTTCTGTGTTTTAAAGGCAACTTAATGTGACATGGCTTGCTGTGTTTTTAAAATGAGACAGGTGAAGAAGATCCATTGCATGTGCTTGACACGCTAGAGCTTATTTATCTCCCAAAATTGGGTGTCAAGGCAGCTCACAAGATTAACTAAAAAGGTACAGATAAAAACATATAATGGTATAATACAGAAATACAATTAAATAAATTCAATTATTAAAACATAATTGAATTAGAAGCATTTAGAAACACATCAGTTTTTTAACAGTACAGTACCTACCTCTTAATAAGCCATCTGACCTTTCAATGGGCTACAATTTGGACCATCACATTAATGGATGAAGCACATTTTTTTCAGACTAAATTTGATTAAACTTTAAGACTGCACAATAAACTACTGAACAAAATTTTGAAAAAATGTTTTGACTTTAATGAGTTTAGTAGCATCAAATCAATAATACAAAAAAACCTGTGACTTTTCATAACTCTACACATTATTGTGGACCACTTGAAAATAGGACTAAAAAGTCTCTCATTAGTTCCAGTCTAAATTCTTGCAGTACTTATGGAGGACAGGAATCACCACGCATTTGTTAATAACATGTGAATATTAACTTAAATAGCAAGATATATATATATATATAAGGATGTGCACTGTATAATACATAAAACATATGCTAATGTATGATTCCATATACGGTATGTTAAATTGTTAAGAAAATCTGAAGTACTTGAATATTGATTTTTAATTTCTTAAAAGAGTTTTGGCATGTTCATTTTTAAATTAAATAGTACTAAAATTTAAATATTTAAAATATATTTTCCTTATGAAGACTGTTTATTGGAAGACAGTGTGCGAGTTTCGTTTGTAAAATATATTACTTAAAACAAAATGAAAATGATGTCATGTCCTGGCAAAGAAAGCTGTACAATCTGCTGGTATTAATGATATAACCTGAAGATTTGAAATGTAGTGAAGCACAGAGTTGCCAGTATTAAGTTTTGGCCAGTGATATGGGATGATGGGAATTGTAGTCCATCATAATCTGGAGTATGATGTTCCTCTTCCCTGGATTAGAGGATTACTTTGGGGAACAAAGCAATGTTTGCTGAAATGTCAATCTAAAGATGCTTCCCTTGACATCTGCTACATATCCTTAGACTTAATATCTGAAAATTACGCTTCTTGTGATATAATGCATAAGTGTATCTTGCATTTACAGTCTATGCCAAAGTATAATAATTGAAATCAGCTGTACCCTAATTCTAAACACCCCTAAGCAAGTCCCAGTGATTTTGATGTATTTTGAACAGCTACACAAATCTTCTAAAGTTCCTGTTGGAAGAATGCTGATCAATTCTCTGCAAGATCTTTAGCATACTTAGCAAATTATTGCTTGGAGGGGCTCCTTGGAAGGAAAAACATGTTAGACAGCTGTTTAACCTACGTATTCAATGGTCAATTTCTATGTGGTGTCCCAACAATCTTGAAAAAAATCTCATAGGTAAACAACCAATTATGTCTGAAGAACAATCACTGTTAATTTCTTTTCTTGAATGTTTACATTTAATTCAGGAAACATTTTCTTGCCTTTGGCCATAATTCTGTCATCTTTTCAGAAAGCTAAAATCCTCATTTATATTTTATTTTGTATTAATACCATTACATTCCCTTAAAATTGCTGCATTTTGAACACTTCGTAAGTACAGATTTGTCTAGCATAGTGGCTCTTCAGCATGTTTGAAGAAACTCTGTTTCTTTGGAATCACAGGACTCATCAAAGACCGCGGATGATTGTGATTGAAATAATGTTCACCTAGCACCACATGCCTTTTCCTGCAATGCATAAGCACATGAGTTGCTGAACATGTTTTAAGCTGTATACTAAGTATACATAGAGCAGTGATGAAGCTCAACAGGCCTCATCAGTGTTTTGCATAAACTGCGTAGCTTAGAAACGATCCGTCCTGCTCCAAATCCTTTGCCATGCACCTATGTTCTGTAAAGCACATTGGGAACAAACAAGAGGTTTATTCAGGCCTGCTCCATTGTTAGTTTTGTTGTCCTTCTGTAAATGGAAGACAGGGAATGTGAAGAGAATGACCCATGTCATACAGTATATGTGGGCTCTCCATTTAAGTTAGGATGCTGATTTTTTTAAGGATTCTGATTTATGGGGAGAGCCCTCATGGACAGCAGACCTCTCCTCAAGCCTCAAACTCAACATTCTCCACACATGTAGGAGGGAGATAAAACTGGGCATGAAGAGAACATTCCCTTCCAAGTGCCAAGAGCATACACAAATAGATAACACTTTAAATAGAAGTAAGGTAATGTGAAAAAACTGGACACCTAGGAAGCTGTCTTTATTGAATGAGACTATTGATCTACCTAGGCTACTGTTGTTGATGCTGCTGGCAGCAACTTTCCTCGAGTTCAGAGGAGAGTCTTTCAAATGAAAATGGTATGAATTGACCTGGGACCTTCACCATACAAATCATATGCTCTACCACCCATTAATGTTCTCTGAGACACAAAGCTTGAACACAGGTAAAGATTCCCCTTGACATTTAGTCGAGTTGTGTCTGATTCTAGGGCGCGGTGCTCATTGCTGTTTCCAAGCCATACAGCCAGCATTTGTCCAAAGACAAGGTTCCATGATCATGTGATCAGCGTGACTAGACACGCAACGCCGTTACCTTCCCACTGAGGTGGTACCTATTTATCTACTCACATTTTTACATGCTTTTGAACTGCTCGGTTGGCAGGAGCTGGGACAAACGACGGTAGCTCACTCCATCACGTGGATTCAATCTTACGACTGCTGGTCTTCCGACCTTGCAACAGAGGCTTCTGCGGTTTAACCCGCAGCGCCACCACGTCCCTTGAGCCCCTGAACACAGGTACATGAAGCAAAATACTTGTCTTGAGTACCCAGCTTGCTGGGGGGGGGGGAGAATGTGTAGTCTGCATAATTAACTTGTAAACTGCCCAGAGACTGCTTGAAGCACTATGGGGCGGTATATAAGCAGCACATTTTGCTTTTTGCTTCAGTAGTTCCAAAGAGTTTCCTATGCAGTTTACTTAATATCCCCCTTCCATATTGCCATCTACTTACCCAAGGAATGAAATAGAAAGCTGACAATGCAATCCTTTGCATACCTACTCAGAGGTAAACCTGCACAATTACAATGAGATTTATTCTGATGCAAATAGTTAGAGGACTGTATCCTAAAACTACATTACATGCAGAATACATTCCCTAGCTCTTTTTGTTCAGTGACATCAATACACATCTCAAAAAGATAATTACTTGACAAACTAAGTTTGGGGATTTGGCAGCAATTTTCACTTACTGAATAAAAGGAACTTCGCATTTAAATTGTCTCACACTTACTTGTGTTCTTTGACTGCTGTCTCCTAGGGATTATGATTATGTTCTAGCTTATTTGACATTATTAAGCCAATCCTATTCATGTTATGTATGTTTCATGGAAGTACATTATATTCACCAGCTTGTATTGAGATAAATAATATATTCTTCTGATGTCTTCTGAAACAGTTCCAGCAGATATATCCCCCTTCCATGTTCTCTTTCAAATGAACAGGTTACTTGCATGATAAACCAAGAAATATATACATATCTATAAATGTTCTAATATTCTAATACATAAAGTACTCTTATAGTGCACTCTGGTACATGTCGACTGAAAAATAAGCCTCACTGAACTGTAGCTTTAAAGTATGAGCACAAGGTAAAAATTTACATATATTTTCAGGAAATGTGTATATACTGAGATTTCCAAAATAAATTCAGCAATATTGGCTTCTTCCTTGCAGGCAGAGGGATAATGTCTTAGCTTTTTCTAGCTAAGGATCAAGATGCAGCTCAAACACTGCACATACTGTATCTAGGCCAGAGATGGGAAACATACAGCCCTCCTGATATTATTATGAAACCGCAACTCCCATCAGCAAGGGGTGACAGGAGTTAGAACATTGTGTCTGTGAATATGCATGTTCTCCATCCTTGTTCTACACCTTTTAAACAGCAGAAGTACATAGAGCACATGTACGGTCACAATAATAAACTTTTTTTTCAGAGCAGGTGCAGAATGAACAAATCTTAAGACAAATACCAACAGAGAAAGTTACCAAAAATTTCATTGAGTCTATCCTCCCCTCAGAGAAATGATGTGAGGAGTAACACATACAACATAAGAAACATATATGTATTTTTTTGAAATACAGAATATGCAAGAAACATCAAAATAAAAAAATGTTTTCCTTTGATATTTTCAAAACCTAGTTTAATTGCTCATGATCACAGCCCTTCATTATACTTTACAGTTCTAAGGTGCAATGACAATATGTACAACTAAGGAAAACACACCTTGCTACATACAAGAATATCCTGGTCAGTTAGTGAATGAGGAATCCTGTTTTCTTGGCTGAAATTAAGGCACTAAGTGGCAGTTGACAGAACAGTTGAATTATTTATATATATATTATCTGATGGAAGTCTTTTCACAAATCCAAATAGAAAACTTGTATATTTTGAATCAGTGACTGAGGTAAGGCATTCTGTTCACAAAATGAAAAAAAATTCCTGCTGAATTGCCCTTAACATAAGTGTAGTCTCAGTATGACTACTGGTCCTATTGCAGAAAAAGAACTACAGAAATACATCTGAGGGTTTGAGAAGGCACCAAGAAGAAACAGTGCTGCCACTACCAGTTCTAAAAACATTAATGCCAGCTGTGTCTAACACTGCATATAGTTTATTCAATCATCTATCTTCATTGTGCAGAAGACAAATGTAATAGCTGTTCACTGGAAGTTTTCAATCAATCAAGCCACTTAATAGAAAGTTTATTTTCATGTATTGGAAAATTAAATGCAGTGTTTAAACACAACTATCCTTCTAAAGCAAATTTATAAAGTCTTGTATGTCTTATTCCTGATTAACACTGAAACAAACCTGTATAAACAAAAGGATTATCTCAAGGATTATTCGGTTTACAATACAAAATTAATATATAAAATGAACAGGATTTACTGAAAACAAAGGGAAGTGTATTACAAAGAAACATGAAACAGTTTTAAGCCACAATATTTTCTCTGAAAAATACAACTATTAGTGAGATAAAATGTACAAATGATTTCTTTCCAAAGGGGGAGGGGAGCACAGCATAAAGGAAAATATGTTTTTCTTCAAAAAACAGGGAAAATAGTTAAGGTCATTGTTTTTCATTACAATAGAATCTGACTCAAAATAGCAGTCATAGGATTGCACCAACTCCATGTCCAGTCTCCTGAACATAACAGCAGTAAAAGAAGTCCATAAAGCAGAATTTGTGATGATTATTTATATACAGAATTTCTTGTCACACAAGCTCTTTGCAAAATGTTCATGACTGTACTTGATAAGTCAGAAAATGTAAATATCTATTTACCACCCAGACTCTTCCTAGTCTTCAGAGTCAAAAAAAGCCATGATACTTAAAAGTGTTATTTTCATCATAGCCAAATATATATATATATATTTAGTGCATGCTTTGATCATTTGTCAAAAATAAACCTAAGTTATTTCAATACAAGAGTTTACAAAATAGAAAAAAAGCCATTCTTCAGGTTAAAAATGCAGTGAGGTTCATGTGCAGTTCCATATGCATGGCAGCGTAACTTTTCCATATAAGAAACCAAGAACACCATGAATCTTTCAGACTGAGAATAGAGTCTAGCATGATCATCCTAACCAGAGCTTCTTTGACCTTTCTGCTTTTTTAAAAAATAAATTTGATAGAAAAAACTGTGAAGGTGGGGATTGTTTGTTATGAACACTTCTGCTGTACATGATTCAGAAGTTCACCAAACTTCTCAAAGAGTTCTTCTACCCATTTTATGTTTTTCATGCACTGTTGTACAATCTCCTCCTGGCCTAGATCTGCATTCTTCTTTTGAACAGAAGAAATCTATTGATGGAGCAAAAAGCAGAACACTATTAGTTTTGTTAGTAAATCCATGTTTTCAATACAGTTAAGGAGCCAGAATCTTACTCTGTAATGTCCGCATTCTTCTAACATTTGTGAGAATAATTAGTCCTATTTTACAATGAACAATCACTATATAAACAAAGTAAGGTTCAGTATTAGAGAGGAAATGGTTAACAGCATAACACATGTTTCTTAAATGAAGAACTTTTTCTATATTCACAATCTATTTACAATATTTAGTAAATAGCCGACACCCAAGCATAGGTCCCCATATGGACTACAACTATCACCATTCCCATCTAGCATGGACAGTGATGGTGGAAGTTGTAATTTAATGTCGCGTTTAGTCGTGTCCGACTCTTCATGACCCCATGGACCAGAGCACCCCGGCCCTATCTTCCACTGCCTCCTGGAGTTGTGTCAAATTCATGTTGGTAGCTTCGATGACACTGTCCATCCATCTCATCCTCTGTCGTCCTCTTCTCCTCTTGCCTTCACACTTTCCTAACATCAAGGTCTTTTCCAAGGAGTCTTCTCTTCTCATTAGATGGCTAAAGTATTGGAGCCTCAGCGTCAGGAAACCCACTATTTTAAGTTACTGGAACTTTGCCAAATATTAAAAATCTGCAGATTTCCCTACATACAATAGTCACACCAGTGTTATTCTGGCATCAAAGCTGCATCCCATCCTAATATAACAGGAAAGCAGCCTTCCTACAGCAGACGTCCATTTACCACAAGTGTTTTTTTAAAGCAGTGGGTAAAGATCTGCATTGCAGTACCATATGGGGAGTGTACACTTTAGAGAAGATTAGCACCTTCTGCTTGCTAATTTTCTTCTAATTTTAATCAGTCAAGCTGTGTATTTGGAAAAAAATGATGACAAATTGTTGGTGTGTTGAATTAGGAGAAGGTAAGGTTTTAATGTTCCTTTTGCCTTTCAGCAGAACACTATATAACTTCTCTCATGCCTCAGTGAAGCAGGAGGAATGTGTATCCTTTTGTGTGACAAGGGTTCATAAACAAGGAGGCAGAATCCTCCTGAGGTGTGTGGACAACTTTAAGGCAAACTCCAGGCAGAGGGCAAAACCTGAGGCAGGAAGTGCTTTCCTCCTCAAGCAGATGGGACCTTGGACAGACTAAATGATCCTTGACAATGGAAATTTTGTGTGGTAAATTCACACTTCCTGTCCGTTATCCCTGTGTTTTCAGTGGCTGAAATTCCATTGCTCAGTGTAGTAAGTTGCACTATATTAGGCCTACATGCCCTTGGGTTTGTAAGACCTGAGCAAGGCTGGAGAATCAGATTGGGCAAATGCTCTGGAGGAGGAAATCAATTCCATTGATTCAAATGGGCCAATTCTAGTTGCAACTCACTTGTGCAATTAGAATAGACCCATTTGAATCAATGGAACTTACATAAGAGTTGACTTACCAAATCCCCACTGGCTCAGTGGGCTCAGATTGAGCCTCGTGGCACAGTGGTTACTGCAGCCAAAACTGTGCTCACGACCTGGGGTTCAATCCCAGGTAGGTGGCTCAAGGTTGACTCAGCCTTCTATCCTTCCAAGGGCAGTAAAAGGAGTACCCAGCTTGCTGGGGGAGGGGCAATGTGTAGCCTGCATAATTAACTTGTAAACCACCCAGAGAGTGATTGAAGCACTATGGGGTGATATATAAGCAGCACGCTTTGCTTTTTTTTTTTCTTTTACTCTATTGTAACACATGATTTCAGCCACTCAGTGAGCCCTTGTTTGCAGTGTCTGGGTTGAATGAGGCACATTTGGTCAAGGTGGAGAGAAGTACCTTCTCTGCTGTAATGCCCACAATGTGGAATGAGGTCACATGGTGTTCCCATCAGCCAAAGATGTATCTGTCCTGGTGTTTTCCCAAACAATTTCTGGAGTGCTAATGTTGTCAGGTGGCCTTGTTTTATAATATATTTTTAAATGTTTCATCTTAATTTGAATGCTTATTCATTGAAGGGCCTAAACCGAGGCCACTAAACTTTTTAACATATTATGAGAAGACCCACTGGAAGGAAACCTGTAATATTATGAAAACCGGCAGGCAGAAAGAAAAAAGGAAGACCAAACATGAATTGGATTGGCACAACAAAGGAAGCCATGTCCTCTAGTTTCTAAGATCTGAGCAAAGGTGGAAAATTAGACTGGGCAATGCTCTGGAGAAGGAACGTAACTTTTCCCACTCCCATGAAATTGTGATGAGTGATACTCCACAAGCTTCTATTAGCTTCAGTGGGAAAAAGGAAAACACACATCTATACTGTATCTTCTGTTTCACAGTATACAGGGAAAGAGTTAAATTCCCTTGCTTCTATGGCCCATATCCCTCTCCAGTGGTAAGGCAGGGCAGAAATACAATACATACCACATTTTAAAAGGAATGTTCCAACCTGTACATATGCTTTCAAAACAAAATGAAAAAAAAAATAACAAAAATAATTTCTACATTTTAAAAGGAATATTCCATATCCCTTCAAAATAAAAACAGAAAAAATCCAATTACAAACAAAACTCATGTTGGAAAACCCATTTCATTATCTCCAAGAAATCAGTTCTCAAGATTTTAAACAGTATGCTTTCAATATAATTGCTATTATTATTACTTAATTATGAAATGCACAAGAAAATTCTATTTCTGCACTGATTCCCTTCCATTTCATTTAAAGGCATTAAAATGGAAGAAAAACTCACCTCTACTTTACACCTTAGAAACATGTGGTATTTGTAATGATGAAGTGAATGATATAAGGAACATAATGGTATTTTTTCTGGATCAACAGCAAATTCCTGAAAAGACAAATAGATAAAAGAGGTATAGACTAAATTTCTAGTTATCTGCTGTCAAGTCGATTCTGACTTACAGTGAGCCTCATAGGACTTTTGAGGTATCTTTAAGGAGTAATTTACTATTGCCATCCCCCCTGAATCTGAACTCAGGTCTCCTAGTTGAACACGATATTACTATCAAGATATTAACGATTCAGAAATAAAATCTTTGACACTGCGTTCAAAAATAAACATTGTTAAAACATGACTTCCATGTTTTAACAATGCATATTTGCTTATCAAATTTTTCTTCCACCATTATGCTTTTTCAAGTAAAGCTATTTGCTGTTTCAAAAGATAAACAGTACATATATAAGTTTAAGTGTTGCTACATTACTGCTGACACGCACAGGTGGCTACTTTTTGCAGGATCTCCATTGGCAATTCTCTTGCCAGTAAGGAAAACATTTGTTAAATCACAGTGCTTCAGAGCCCAACAAGGCCAGTGGGCATGTCAGGTAACATTGTAAAACAAAAAGGTCCATACTCCTCCCTTGTGCTTTTTCCCTTGGAAGGTGACTTCATAAGCTGATGGATCTGTTACCCCAAATGAAGGAGAAGAACATTATTCAATATGCATTTTTGAGCAAACTAATCTAACTTACGCTTTCTGGATCCAAATGCAGTAACTGTTTGAATAGCACACCTCTCAGAATGTTGTGATGACACTCTTCAGTCAAAAATACATACAGTATTAAACTTTGCACACTGGGGAAAGTAGCATGCAAAATGCATATTGTTGAGAAAGCTACATACAGCAACAGTCAAAAATCTATTGGAATCACATGCTTGTTTAGTGAAAATGCATCAGATGTGGCAACAAACTACTACTAAATAACAAGGTGCTAGTTGTGCTCCATGCCCAGTCAAGCCATCGGTATATTACAGAAACATGACTGACAGTTCATTAATTAGCAACAATTTGCTACTGATGCGATTTCATTCAAACGTATGAAAATTGCTAATAGGATTCTGTCCTATTTTAGGGAAAACAGCATACAAAAACTTGTATGGATTTTTAAAAAAACTGCAGACTGATTAAGAAATGGAATGGAACAGAGTATGATTGAATACACAAGAAAGTGACATGGGCTGGTTAGAAATTGATTTGTTGCCCATATTTATGGACTGTATCTCTTTGCCCTCGTTGTCTCTTCCCCCAGCTTGTTTTTCATTTTTCATTCTGTCTGTAGTATCTAGCTAGCAAGAAATTGCTACCTAGGACAGATTACTTCTGAAGGACCAGTTGCCACTCTCTAATGAGCTGGAAAGGAAAACATTATGACTTTCTGAGATACTTGGAAGCACAAAAGTATCTGATACCTTAATGAAATCAGAACTATGCATGTGAGAGTTTTGACTACTTACATGACTTCCAATGAGCACACACCACAAAACACATATATTTAGTGTTTATTTCCCTGTACTCAGGCCAAACACATAATCCTTTTCTTTAGAAAATTTTAGTTTCATTTTATTTAATTTTCTAAGATTACAGTCCTAGTCAGAAATTAAAAAGGATATAGAAAGTCATAGCTAAAGGGGAATGCTGTACCCCTGCCCCACTCTGCACTTTCCATACTCTTCTTTGTTCATGTGGAAGAACTGCTGTTGGCATTAATATTGTGCACACATCCCTTTATGCTAATTCCTAAACCAGGTCTAAGATAGTGAGCACAACTTCTCTTTCCACAAAAGAATATCAAGGAATGCAGAGCAAAAGAGCTTCTTCGGTGCTAGCATGGGGAGCTGTGGAATGAGTCTTCAAAAGCTGTGAACATCTCAGTTTTAAAGGCCCATAAAATGCACGTGTAAAAGCAGCCATTGTGACAGGATGAGAATGGAACAATTATAGGTTTTTGACATGTAGATTCATGCTAGGAGGGGTACTTACAGTACAATCTGATTCAAATCTAAGTAGAATCAAGCCCAACTGAATTCAATGGGATTTATTTCTGGGTTGGTGTGTGTACGTCAGCACTCTTGCATCCAGGCTCAGTCACAAAGGACAGATATCTGCAACTGTGAGCTTTTCACTAACAGAACAACTACCATATTTGCCAGCGTATAAGACGACTGGGCGTATAAGACGACCCCCCAACATTTCCACTCAAAATATAAAGTGGACGGCTCTGCTGTGGCACCAGTGGTGGCTGCTCGGGGCTCTGCCCGGGCCCGCCCTGGAAGTTCATGGCTGCCGACGAGGCCCGAGGAGGGTGAGGAGGAGGGGAAGTGACTGAGCGGATGGCGGTAGCGGAGGAGGAGGGGAAGTGGCTGGGCAGGTGGTGGCAGCGGAGGAGGAGGGGAAGCGGCTGTCTGGCGGTGGGCTCTGGCCCCTCAGGCATGGCCAGCCCTGCTTCCCTCCCTCTGTCCAGACCGACCGCCTGCCTGCCCGCGTGCCTTCCTCCCCAACCGGCGCGGCCCCGCGTCACTCACTCAACGGCAGTGGCAGCTCCTTCCTGGCCCAATTGAAGTGCACCCGGCGTATAAGATGACCCCCCACTTGGAGGCATGTTTTTGGAGCCAAAAACGTCATCTTATACGCTGGCAAATACAGTATATTTTATTCTCTTAACAATTCTGTCAGAATTTGCTATGGTGGTTCTGTTACCTGTAATGGTTCTAGTTGGGACTGACAGTTGGGCTTGGCCTTAGTGTTTGTGATTACTATAGAGAAATAGGAACATTTTGGAATTCCCTTGTCTTTATACACATGTCGATGCTTTAAATGATTTGCAGAGAAACAGAGGTGCAATGGGGAAAGTTGTAAAAAACCATGTAGCTTTAATTTATTGAAGCATTTATATTATGCCTTTCAAACATAGTCGGGCTCTGGCCAGTTAGGCATGGCCGGCTCTGCTTCCCTCCCTCTGTCCGGACCAACTGCCTGGCTGCCCTCCTCCCCGACTCACTCAATAGCGGTGGCTCCTTCCTGGCCCAGCTGAAGTGCACCCGGTGTATAAGACAAACCCCCCATTTGGAAGCATGTTTTTGGGGCCAAAAAGTCATCTTATACGCTGGCAAATATGGTATGTCCATTCTTCACTCTTTTCTATGTATGTACACCTTAAAAAAATAACATCTTACCAGGTTTTAAAAAACAAAGATCAACATAAATAAAAAGTTATTTTAATATACTGTTACACAATTTAGGAACAGTTGCATTTGCAAATATGTAACTGAAACCATCAAATTTAGTTCAACATTTAGAGTGGTCGAATAAGACCAGATAGGCGGGATAGAAATCAAATAAATAAATAAAATAAATTAAAAAATCCTGGAAATACAAAACAATTTTGATATACAATTATTAAGAAAGTATCAGGATTGGCAGTAATGTCCCTTTAGATACACAGAAGGAAAAAAACACTGCACCCATGTACCTGTGCTAATTTTGTGCTTGCTTTAGAAATCTTCAATGTTTTCTTGTTGTAAGCTTTCCCATTCATTTTGATTTTAGAAACTGCATTCACACCTGTTTTTGACTTAGAATCACGAGTGATTATTGTCAGTTCAGGGAAGCTTTCCAAAGCAGCCTTGAAACAGAACATAAAAGCAGTAGATTAGAGACTGTCCAGGATTTTATTAAAGAAAAATGTGTCACGTTAAGGCACAGAAGCTTATACAACAAACAATTAAAGGCAACCAAGCAATTCAAGGGAGAGAAATAACCTAACTCCTTAAAATAAATCTATGCAATAAGTCCAGGGCAAATTTATTTTTCAGTGAAGACACAGACTGAAATCCTGTTGCTTAATGCAGTAAGCCACATTAAGTAGAGTCGGCTCATGGCATCAGTGGGTATCTGGTGAGTCAACTCTTCCATAAGTTCCACTGAGTCAAACAGGCCTATTTATGATGTGTCCTTTGACACAACTAGAGTAAGCTCATTTGAATCAATGGAATTTACAGAGGAGTTGGCTGAACAAATTCCTATTGATTGAATGGCTCTACTCTAGTGTGACTTACTATGCTATGTTACAGGATTTCAGTCATGAAGTCATATTCTGCAAACTAATGTGTACAGGAAAGCTCCTTTTCATCTGAAAATGCAGAACTGTACAGAGACAATATTACTGAAGGAAATTGTGAAAGAGGAATTCATGTAGTTGCTACTAAAATATATGCCATAAAGAATAATAAAAGCAATAAAGACATTTGGGCAATTAATACCTTGAATGAGCGTTCTAAATGTAATTTGGAGAGCAGCCTTTTTCTACTGTCATTCAGCATGCCATCAATTTTTCTCATATGTGGTAAAAGCAGCTCATCTAAAAAAAAAAACAGATTTTACAAAATATAATGTACGCACTACAGTGTCTTTATTGAATGCTGCAAGAATCCTGTATAATGGCAGCAAGACATTCTCTTTCTCCCTGCAACTCCAATCACATAAACTTTGTTCTGGAAAGCCCCCAAACCTCTAGAGCATAAATATGAGGGTATACAAGGAGGAACAGTTGTTCCCCTTCAAGTTCTGCTGAAGAAAACTGTTTTACTGCAGGGGTGGTGGTGAAGTATAACTTGATAACACTCATTTTTCACCACCTTTGTATCTCTTCAATGCAGTATGGCTTACGACTGTTTTATTTAGTAAATGTGGTACAGTACTTAAAACATTTTCAAAACTTAAGTATACAAGGATTACTTTCATTTCTGTACACCCAAAGGTGGTGATTCAGTGAAAAAAGGTAAGAAAAGGCGATCTTACTTTTTGGCCTATTTTGTGTGAAAAGGGTCTGTCTATACAAAACGTTTGTACTGTATGTCTATGATATGAGAAAACACATCCTCACAACACCATACAAACTGGGCTGCTATCATACCACAGCCAGACATAAGAACAGCGCTGCTATAAAATAATGTACCATAATGCTTCTGCTGCAACAGTACAAGTGTAGGGAATCCAAAAGAAGGCCAGCTCTACGAAAGTATGAACCATTTGTCACACTTCAATTACAATTATCACAGGAAAGGAGCAGGCAAAGTACACAGTGAAGGTGATCTCCAGTAAAAGGAACAAGGTCACCCAGAGGGTTCAAGCAAATAGTCCGTTCCACAACAGCAAGAGCAACAGGTTTGGTCAAACACTGCTCCCAAATATAAGAAATCATCACCGAGAATGCAAGAACGTCCAGACTCTGTGAATACGTTGTTTTACCAGAACTTTAATAGCAGAACTTCTTGTCCTCGTATCCCTGTCACCTGTGGTGGCCACTTCATAAACTCTAAGAAATATCCCACTACCCAAAAACTTAGGAAGAAGAAATGGGTCTCTGATATGCAAACATGAAGGCACCCAAATTGCCTATGAAAATGCAACCAGCTATATATTTGCTGCACTTAGCAAGGAAGGTGCACAAACAGTACAACAGCAAGTACAATGTAGAACAGCCAATACCCAGCTTAATGCTATTTTCAGTAAAGCCTTTTTTTCCACACATGACTGAGGAGTTGCAATAACTTTACAGTTCATTAGCTGTATTTAGAAGAAACTGAAGTCTGTGATCAGTTTTTTTATCATATTTATCCGATCCCATTCTGAATCCAGAGTGGTCTTGGTAAGCCTTTATTTATTTATTTATTTAAAATATTTTTACTGTGCCTTTCTCCTAAAAAGGATGAACTTTAAGTCCCTGTGTTTTCTCATTCACAGTATTTTTGAGGAAAATACAAAGATACTGAAATGTGTTACAGTGCACCAACTTTCAACAAGTTTTTAAAAACTTCAATAATTAGAGTGAGTCAGTGTAAGCAAGCAAAGATTGCTTAGAAACACGGAGAACATTTTTTAACTTTTATATTAATTTAAAAGCTAGAATTTTATTGGTGTTTGCAGGACTGGTACCAGTGTTAGCAATTCTGGGGTGTTAAAGGCTTTTCCCTATCCTAAGGACCTTAAAATCTATCTCAGGTCAAAAGATATCCTAGGGAGCCTTGGAACTGGAGCGGGGGAATAGGATACATTTAACCGAAGACTGAAGTCCAAGGTTAACGTCATAGAGTTCATAAAGCTGCATGAACAGGGTTCCAGCTGTTTCATACATGCCATTGTTTCCACATCATTTTCTAATACAGTACCATTTATAACCTTTTATTATAATGCAAATGGGGAGTTCCCAGAGCACAGATCAGTGCAGCTGATTTATTTAAGAGCTGTTTAATTTTGGTGGCACACACAAATACAGTGGTGCCTCGCAGAACGGTCGCTCCGTAGAGCGACGAATCCGTGCAACGGTGCCGTTTTTGCGATCGCAAAAGCAATCACAAAACGGCAGAAAATGGCTGTGATCAGCTGTTCTGCGGCTTCAAAATGGCCGCAGGAACAGCCAGAATGGCCAGGCGCAGCGTTTTCGGGCCCTTGATAAGCAAGGGGAGAGCGCGAAAAGGCCATTTCGGCTGTTCCAGCAGCGTTTTCGCGCCCACCCCTTGCTTACCAAGGGCCCGAAAACGCTGCACCCGGCCCTTTCGGCTGTTCCGGCTGCCATTTTGGACCCGCCGGACAGCTGATCGCAGCGTTTTCGTGCCCTCGTTCAGCGAGGGGAGGGCGCGAAAATGGCTGCCAGCATCGTTGAACGGTGAGTATTCAGCCCAATTGGAACGCATTAAACACTGTTTAATGCGTTCCAATTGGTTTTCTTGCCCCGTTCAACGATGCTTTCACACAGTGAGGGTTAATCCGAAACGGATTAACCTCGCTGTGCGAGGCACCACTGTACAAAGATATTTTTTTTAAATCCTAAAGTTTAATATGCTACACGCTCTGAAACAGATCACTTTAATGGTCTTTTATAGTGATAAAGTCATATTTAATTTTATAAATTTGAATTCTGAATGTTGAGTTTTTATATTTAAAATCCGTCGATTCTTTAAAATATATCCTTACTTGTCTAATCTCCAGTTATCAAAACATTTAGTATAATAATGCTGCTCTTTGGCTCAGTAAGAATTTTATTAATTTTTATAGTAATATACTTAATATTTGGAATGGAACCAAGTCCCTCCTTGCTAAAAATGTACTTAGTACTCTCCAGGTGGAATTATAGTTAAAGTTCAGAAGGGAGAAGAGTGCTCGTGCAAGTTTCAAAGGATGCTTGGATTTCAAGGCTTCTAGTGATAAAACTGTCCTTCCTACAGAAGGAGGACAGCCAGATGGCTTCTATGAAATAACATCTCTCTGTTACTGTGTGTTCTAGTTCCTTCTCTGCTCAGCCCCTTGGTCTTCTTCAGTTCTTATGCTTTAGTGCAATCTTTCCTTTTCCAGAAATAGTGGAATCTGCTTAAAGCAACCAAATGTGACCATCAGGTGTCCTTTGTTTCTTAAAATATGGGGTAGCCAGTAAAGCCCACATAGTACTGAAGAACGCCTCAGCACATACAGGGCAGAGGAGGAATTATAAACATTCTATTTGGTGCTAGAAAAATGGGCGAGTATTCACTTTTCTTATATAGATATTAGGAATAAACAGAAAATCAACAGATAAAAATTTAAACGATTTAGGCTATAATTTCCAGAATCTTCCAGCTAGCATGTCCATTGAAGCTGCAGTCCAAAAACAGTGAACTGTGGTCTAAAAAGTAATTTCCTCATCTCTAGCCTGGAACAGACAGCTACCATGTTTCCCTGGAAATAAGACAGGGTCTTAGGAAAAAGGCAGTCTTTCTATACATGCATAGAAGCACTGTGAAACTGTCTCTTTTACATAGCTCCTGGTCAATGAGCAACTTTTGAGCTAAGGCACAATGTGATAAACAGTCTTATGATAAAATAAACAAGAGCTTGAGCAAACAAGTACCATTACTCTTCTCCAGTGCCAGCATTGTATCTGGGTCCAAGGCAATGCTAACAAGCAGTTCCATGTAACTCCTAAATGTTTCCTTCATAGCCCTGGTGTTCAAAAAACGAGTAGCAACAGGAGCTGGAGGTCCACTGTCTGAAATATCAGAAGAACAAGCATATTATTCTAACTGTATTTTTTCTAGCATACACAGTATCTTTATTAGACTCTGCTGAATTCTAGTAATCACTCAAAGCAATAAAGACACACCAATGTAAGTAGAATAGAAATGCATCTAATTAGCATCTTTGTTCGAAGGGAGCCATCAGACTCATTATACTTGCAGAAGAAGCTTGAAACAATTCAGTAAATGCACACAAAGTGAAACTACAGGGGCTTAGATAAATATATGGGAGTACTTACAAGTTGGAAAGTAGTTTTTGTTTCTATACAGTTTTTATTCTTGTATTGAAATAGAAAAAAATCTGCTAAACTGATAAATTAACCTATGCCTATAATAAACCAAACAAAGAATGATACTAATTTTCATTTTAATTCCTTAACAGTTCTCCTTAATAAAGGAGTAACAGCAGGAATGTCTTCCAATATGGAAGACGTAGTAGCCAAGTAATAGCAAGAACTTCATCCACTATGTCAGAAACAGCAAATAAACAGAGGATATATCAAAGCAGGGCTTCACCTATGTTATGCTACGAAGCAATACATAGAAAAAACCTTCTTTACAAATGATGACTTTAATATCACAAACCTTTTATGAGAAAAGACATCAAATTAAATTTAATAAAGCTGTACTTGTTCCTAACATTTCATATAAACACTTGCCAAGAAACATGCAAAGCCCAAGACATTTGAGAGATAATAGATAAATAGGAATATAATTACTTTTGAAGTGGTGCTGTTTACCTTCTTCATTACTCTGATGCTGTGGAGTAGTGGGGAATTCTTCTTTCCATGTTTTCCGTTTCTTTGGTGGTGGCTCAGCCTTTATCTTTGGCTGTTTAGCTTTGGGCTTCACTGAAGAAACTTTTGCTGTTGCTGTAGTAGTAGTAGTTTTTGGCACTGGGGGATCAGGAAGGTTGCTGATGCTAGTGCTTGGCTTACAGTGAACAGTTCTACAAGTGAAAGGAGGACAGTATGAGATTGACTTGTACAAATTATGTTTCCATCATTAAAGATTTCTACCCTCTATTATTCTGTATGGATCAAATACTGTATATAGCTCTTTACAGTCGTGCCTCACTTAATGATTGCTTCGTATAACGAAAAATTCACTTAATGATGGCTTTTTCAGAGTGATCTTGCGCTCCGTTTAACGATTTTCCCTATGGGCGATTTTCGCTTAACGATTTCGGGACCATGCTTCGCATAACAATTAGGTTTTGGGTCCCCTTGTTTCGCGTAATGATTTTTTTGACAGCCCTGTTTTCGCTATTTTTAAAATATTCTAAAATGTTTAAAAAATGTTGACAATGCTTGGAATCGTTAGTGCACCTAATAAAACCTTTGTTAAATTAATTTGGCTTTGTTTTCAGTCTTTTTGAATTTTTTTGTGAATTTTTTTTCTCCCCCATTAAAATGCATTGAAAAGGCTTCAATGCATTTCAATTGGGGAACCGCGTTTCGCTTAACGTTTTTTCCTATGGCGATTTTCGCTTAAGGACGGTAATCCATTCCAATTGGAACGGATTATCCGGTTTTCAATGCATCTCTATGGGAAATGGTGTTTCGCTTAACGATGTTTTCACATAGCGATTTATTTGAACCAATTAAAATCGTTAAGCGAGGCACCACTGTATTTACAATGGCAAGAAGAGGTGATACCTTTCTTGACCACTAAAAAACCTGAGCAAACGGCTGTCTTACAACATAAATCTGTCTTCTTCAGGCAGTCCACTAAAATATTATGAGTAATGCATATATATGAGAGTGTATATATATTCACCTCCCAACTTTTTAAACGAAGGGCTGCCAAGTCATTTGCATTACCTTCCCCACAACATTGCCTTTTATTGAAACTAAGTTCCTATTCTGTCAAAAGCTATCTGTTTGTTCAGATTTTTAGAAGTCCAGTCAACAATTCACCTATCCTCACCTATTAATCAGACAAGGACCATACGGCTCCATTCAGTTTTTTCTTCATTTACAGAGTATAGTAATCTATCTGCACACAAGTACAGCTGTTTCAAAATTTAAATTATTGGGTCTTGCCTTTTAGTTGGGTGCTGGTTTCATGTTTGTTGTACCACAAAATTGCTAAAGACTAATTGTTCTTGCTACTAGTACTATGGTGTTGGTAACTAGCAGAAGGTGCAGCTTCATCTCATTAGAATTTCCTAGAATCCACAGCTCTTTCCAATGGTCCCGTTCTTTCCCTCTGATCCTTCCCTTCTCTCCTTTGTTTTTTTCTCTCCCTCTCCACCCATCAGTAATATTTAGCCTTCTCGCTTCTCAACCCCTCCCGGCCTTACTCAGTCATTAGCAATTAGGTTTGTTTCACCAACAGTTTGAGAAATTCACACCCTACAGAGGGAAACACCCTAAAGAACAACTTATGAAGAATTTAAACTCACAGTCTAATTCTACAGCTTCCTCTCTTAGTGAATATCTGTCACCTAGTGGTTGAACCTGGCACTGCATGCTACAGAGTTCAAGGAAGAAAAAAATCACGAACACATTAAAAACAAAATAACTCCAATATGTACAGCACAAGAACCCATTTAGCATCCATGCCAAGTTTAAATGCACCTATCATGGTATTGGAATTATGCTGGAGCCCAATAGACACATGCACACACTTTGGAAGAAAGAAAAAAAATTGGAAGAAAGAAAAAAAAATTGCTTCACATTCAGCAATAAGCACTCTCTGTAGAATGGATTCAACAAGAAAGCCAAGAATGTGCTACCAATCTGTACATCATTGGTGGGTCGGAAAAAATAAATTAGCAGCATTAGGTAATTTCTTTCAGAAGGTAATCTATATAAAGTTAAATCAACAAAAGAGACATAGTTCAGATGACAACCTATACCCTGGCTGAGATCATCCTGGAGACGACAGACATTGTCATCCACCATATCTGGAGGTTGCCCAGTTGGGGAAGGCTGGTTTTGACTCTTGTCAAGGGACTGTAGCAAGCCTTGAACTTTCCTGTTCCGCTTCCCTTCCTTTGCATGGAATATTGGCAAAAACTTCCACTCTAACCTTTTGACTAAATTTCAGTTCCCAAAGTTTGTGTGGAACCAAAAATTGTCAAAAGTGAGTGCAGGAACTCTCCTTCCTCTCTTCCCACATGTAAAGGAATTGCCCACAAGTCTTGTGCAGCTCATCTGTACTGATCACAAAAAGTATTTTCGAACTATGCTCAACCACACGGATAACCACAGTGACAACAATATACGAGAAGAGAAATAACTGCTTTTGAAATCGACAAGTGATAAGATAGGTATGACTGTGTTGCTGTCAAGGTATTCAATACTGCAGAATTCAACACCAAGACCAAGGAAAAATGAATTAAAATCAAATACCTCACAGACTGCACAGGTTTATTTCTTGGCCTCTTGGAACACACTCTGACGTACTCTTTCTTGTTTGCATTTTCTATGAACTTCACATACACCCGTTTGTATTTTGATTTTGCATCCCCAAAATACCCGAGATACTACCAAAAAACAAACAATAAAACAAAAAACAGTACATTACTAGTATTCATATGCAATGCTTATTATTTTCTACCACAGTCATTAAGTATCAAACAATGACTTAGATTCAGATTTTGTGTAAGCAGAAGGCCCCTCTGCAATGAGTGGGCCATCCCAACTCACACCTCTGCACCTCCTCAAAATCCTCTCGGAAGAGTCCTTCCAGAAAGATCTAAGATGTGGAACAGTGGCAAGGGGAAATGAAGGAAAGACAGCTTGTACACACAGAGCTCATAACACATGCCAGGTCCACATACAAAACAATAAACAAAGGAATAAATTCACCAAGGTAAATTTCACATTAATAGATTATCTAATTAATATACCAGCACTACTAAACACATTGTACAGCTAGAATGCATCGCTATAATTAGGGATATCATTTCTAGCAAAGTGCCTCTTATACGTATCCAATTATGATGTTCCAATTTAAGACATTAATATTTACATATAGCTCAATATCCTACTATGTAGTTGTTATGGGGCAGGTGGAGGGGATATCAAAACTAGCAATACACTGCCTCTAATTCAAGAGTTTCTGCTTCAGTTTCTGGTTGTGCTTCATTGAGGATTCTGGTAGCGTTTTCAAGATTAGGAAGTGGTCCTTTTGTGAGAAAACAGGAGACTCAATGCTCGTTCCCTCTGTTCCTTTATATATTTTGAAGTGGTTTCTGATTATTATTGTCAGTAGAAACGATACTTTGTACATCATAGAAAATTATGGTTATCATGAACTTAGAAATGGAGAATTGGGGGGGGGAGGAAATGTTGACAGTGTATGTATTCCTTATTGCCAAATCCTGGCCCATCATCTTTGATAGGGAGAGAGGAGAGAACACATAAATATGTACACACAGGAAGTATGAGTTTGGGATTTTCACTTCCTCACAGCCAGGTTCTAATCCACAAAAATTGGATTAGAACTTGGATTAGATTAGAACCTTGTGGATTAGAACCTGTACTTCAATAAATGTGCTAGTCTTTGAGATGTCACATGAGACTAGGTTAAAACTAGGATTCTTCTTTTTTTTGTTCATGTCTTATCCAGCAGTAACATGAATCTCTGCACTTACGCTGTTAGTAGCTGCAAACTCTCTCTGTCCATCTCTAACTTCAGGAACAAACTTTTGCAACAAAGCTTTTTGAACTTTCCAAATGGCTGGAGGCTCTGTTCCTGTTTTCAAAGCAGTCTGAAAGATTCAAAATTAAAAATTTGAGTTTTAGTTATGGAGCTTCAATTATTAGCTTTAACGGACCACTGCCTTCATTATTAATGTTAATAATCTTCTGTTTAATAGTGTAAGCAGTCTTAGATCCATTTTAGTAGACAGTTAGAAAGTGTCATATAGTTTAAATAGCAACTTACGTTTTCTACAACCCCTTTATATTTTAATCAATATCTGAAGTAAATTAAACTGAAAGTTGGTGTCTCTTTAGGGCAATCCCAGTGATCTGAACCAGAACGCAAATGTCATTCAACCTTTCAAATCAAATGCCATTTTGAGTTGCGTGCATCCCTAGAGGCATTTTACAGAGTGATATGCTCACTTTCAGTTTGAGTCATCTCAGCTTCAAAAGTTCACAGTTTTGATTTAGTCACCGGTAAAGGAGATTACCCATTCATGGATTGCTGCCTTGTCATGGCGAAGGGGCTTGAGTAATTCAGAGAATCTATAGGCTATACTGTGCGGGGACACACAAGACAGGCAGGTCATACCGTGCGGGGACACACAAGACAGGCAGGTCATAGTGGAGAGTTCTGACTAAATGCGATCCACCTGGAGCAGGAACTGGCAAGCCACTCCAGTATCTTGCCAAGAAAACTCCATGGACAGAAACAAAAGGGTAAAAGATGTAACACTACAAGATGAGCCGCTCAGGTTGGAAGGCGTTCAACATGCTACTGAGGAAGAGCAGAAGACAAGTACAAGTAGCTCCAGAACTAATGAAGTAGTTGGGCCAAAGCGGAATAGACGTTCAGCTGCGGACGCACCTGGAAGTGAAAGGAAAGTCCGATGCTGCAAAGAAAAATACTGCATAGGAACCTGGAATGTAAGATCTATGAACCTTGGTAAGCTGGATGTGGTCAAACAAGAGATGGCAAGAATAAACATTGATATCCTGGGCGTCAGTGAACTAAAATGGACGGGAATGGGTGAATTCAATTCAGACAATTATCATATCTACTATTGTGGGCAAGAATCCCGTAGAAGAAATGGAGTAGCCCTCATCGTCAACAAAAGAGTGAGAAAAGCTATACTGGGATACAATCTCAAAAATGATAGATAGAATGATTTCAATAAGAATCCAAGGCAGACCTTTCAACATCACAGTAATCCAAATTTATGCACCAACCACCGATACTGAAGAGGCTGAAATTGACCAATTCTATGAATACTTACAACACCTTCTAGAACTGACACTGAAGAAAGATGTTCTTCTCCTTCTAGGGGATTGGAATGCTAAAGTAGGGAGCCAAGAGATAAAAGGAACAACAGGGAAGTTTGGCCTTGGAATTCAAAACGAAGCAGGGCAAAGGCTAATAGAGTTTTGTCAAGAGAACAAGCTGGTCATTACAAACACTCTTTTCCAACAACACAAGAGGTGACTCGATAAATGGACATCACCAGATGGGCAATACTGAAATCAGATTGATTATAATTATCTGCAGCCAAAGATGGAGAAGCTCTATACAGTCAGCAAAAATGAGACCTGGAGCTGACTGGGGCTCTGATCATCAGCTTCTTATACCAAACTCAAGCTTAAACTGAAGAAAGTAGGAAAAACCACGGGGCTACTCAGGTATAATCTAAACCAAATCCCTTATGAATACACAGTGGAAGTGAAGAACAGATTTAAGGAACTAGATTTGGTGGACAAAATGCCTGAAGAACTGTGGATGGAGGTTTGTAACATTGTACAAAAGGCAGCAACAAAAATCATCCCAAAGAAAAGGAAATGCAAGAAAGCAAAGTAGCTGTCCAACATGGCCTTACAAATAGCAGAAAAGAGAAGGGAAACAAAATGTAAGGGAGATAGGAAAAGTTACAGAAAACTGAATACAGACTTCCAAAGAATAGCAAGGAGAGACAAGAGGGCCTTCTTAAATGAACA